AGTTCCCTTGTCTTCTGGATTGGGTTCAAATTTACAAGGCTACGGAGTTGAATTTGAGTAGTCGTAAACCAAAAATTGCGTCGGATGTTCAACGACGATAATAAAATTAAAAAAACAAGGATATTTTTTTTGTAGTGTGATCTTCAGCTATTTCATAAAATCTCTCTATAATACGTACTTAATCCTCAAGAATCAGCAGGTGTATCTTTATTTCTGCGGGGGAAGGAAAAACACGAGTAAGTGTTGCCATTTAAAAAGATAAATTTAAGGTACATGATGCAGGTGTTTCTATTACAGATGGATAATTCATGGTCAAAGAGAAAATTTTTCTAGTATTGTTTTTTCTCGCAGAAGACATTATTTCTATGTGTGTCGCAATTCGCAAATAAGTTACAATTAATTACTTAGGAGTATAAATAGCACAATACTTAGATTTTTACTATAACCAAATAAACGTGTTGCAATTTAGTAGAATGATAGGTAACTGTGAAGGCGTTTTTCTCAGAAATTGCATTACATAATTTCGTCATCGTGAATCCGTGCGTATTCCTACCCCGTTCTCTTTTTGTTCTACGCATTTAATGTCTCAAATAAACACGTAAAAGGAATGTGTGACACATAAGATGAAAATTTATATTTTTTTCAAAATTGTTGGATGCATTTTTCTTGTAATGTACATTTTATTCAAAATAAAATATACATGAACTATAAGTAATTTAAAATGCATTTTTTTAAAAGTTTTAATACTTTAAAAAACCGTCACCTGCATTTTTTTCTGGTATACTTACTTTTTAACTAATTTTCTTACACACTGAATACTCAAATCGCAGTTCTTCAAAAAAATTTTGCATATAAATATTAAATACTTGAAATATAACTGTAAAGTTTATATGAAAAATGCTGCTCAAGTCGTTTTATTAGAAAAAAAAGAGTAAAATTTAGAGACGCAATGCAAGTTGCTAAATTCTTCATAAAATTTAAAATTATGTCAAATTAAAAAAAAATTAAACTAGTATTTACAAAAATTTCAGCTAAAAACAAATTAATTAAATAATTAATAGTTTAGCAAACTAGAAATTTTCTTTTTGATGTTAAGATAAACTTATTTAAGTATTTATTATATTAAATATCGTGAAATTAAGTATTTATTATTTAAGTATTTACTATCGTAAATACCGTGAAGTATTTATTATATATTATTTATTATACATATACAAAGTTTTATTCGATACCGTGAAATTAACTGAAAAATGTATAGTTAAGAAATACTTATTTAAGTATTTATTACATTAAATACCGTGAAATTAACTGAAAAGTTAATATAAAAATGCTTCTCAAGTCCTTTTATTAGGAAAAAAAGAGTAAAATTTAGAGACGCAATGCAAATCGCTAAATTCTTCATTAAATTTAAAACTATGCCAAATTAAAAATAAAAAAATTAAACTAGTATTTACAAAATTATTAGCTAAAAGCAAATTAATTAAATAATGAATAATTTAGCAAACTAGAAATTTTCGTTTTGATGTTAAGAAATACTTATTTAAGTAAATTAAATAATAAAATAAATTTAAAAAAGTTGTCAGATTTTTCAAAAAAGTTTTTTTTTTAATTTAATTTACGAACGAATTAACTAAATGCAAATTAATAATAATTTAGCAATCTTGCATTCATTTTTTCATTGGGAAAAACTAATTTTGAACCAGACATACAGAAAATACTGTATTTCAAAAACGAAAGCTTGATACGTTATCAGCGATGCCAACAGTTCCGCTTTCGGTGAAAGTTTTAATAAATTAGTATCGAATTAAAAAGTTAAACTTGTTGAATAAGTGATAATTTTACCAACTCTCGTAAAGTCTCCTCAGTTAGTAACTGCGACAAAGTTTTATTCTATAATTAGAGGCTTTAAATATTTGATACGTAGAGGCGAAAAAATAATTAAAGATAAAATCAACTGAATTTAAATAACTTAAACTTCGCTGCAAATTAATAACTAATTTGTAAGTAGCATAATGAAAGCTAAAGTATTTTAAGAGGTAGTTTAAACGCTAAAGTATTAAGTTTCATACATTTAGATCGCATTTTATCCTTGAGTTGCTTTACTGCCTGTTTCGTTAGTCTGAGGCAAAACTGGATTTACAGCAAGCTTTTTCGTTTCGACTTTTCCGAATTATCGAAGTATAAAATGACGAAATAGAGAAGAATTTTTTCCTACATTTTTTTTCAGGTTACTAAAAAAAGTGCTTAAATTAAATATTTTGAAATGAACCATTTTCATTTTAAAATACAGCACCATTGCTGTATTTATTTATTTTTCCTACCTTGCCAGTTTTGTGGCTTCTTTTGTAAGGCAGAAGAAATAAGCTGAAGATGTACCAAGTTTTAAAAGAAGATAGACTTCTAAGAAAGTGGAGACAAACTCAATTTTTACAGCTATTAGGACCTTCATATATTGAGTCAACTCATAAGTAATATTAATAAGTTTAATGAGAGTGCAAAAAAAAATTTCTTTTATTGAGAGTTAAATACTCCCTCCTTACTTTATCACACATTGATTAATAAAATTTGTTAAATTATCGCAATAGCTGTTACCTGTTAGTTTTACATAAATTGTGATATAAGAATTATATTCAAATAATTTAAAAAATATCTTTTATGTATGATATTCTCAGTTATATACGAAGTCACTATTAATTTAGAATATGAAAATAATCCATTGAATTTTATTAATTGCTTCATTTGTAATCAAGATTTTATGTTATAAATGCTTCAACTGGAAATATTTCTTTAACTTTTTGGAGATATTGTGTCACTTTCTTAAATATTCTAAAATGTTTAAATGAGATACAAGATTTCATTCTTGTATTTTTATTTAATAATATAGTATTTAAATGGAAAAACTTAATCTTTCAACTTCTTGTAATAAAACATGATTTTATGTTATTTTATTTAACAATATTTGAAAATAAAAGTATGTATATCCTGCACTAGCGGTTCCTAAATTTCTCGCCAATGAAATCTCAAAGCGATGACTGGAATCAAAGCGAATTCCGCACCCGGCTCGCACCGACCACAGTGCTGGCGTACAATATCCTCAGTGGTAGATGGATCATAGGCTAGAGTCCCCTTGGCGTTAGGCTAAGTGCGGGAGGTTTTAATCTCCATGTAACGCAAAGGCGAGTTAGTTCCATCAAAAAGTCCTACACGAAGGTAAATTTCTCCCAGTTCTTCATGCAAGAGTTGAATTACAAGGCTATGGAGTTGAACATTAGTAGTCATAAACCCAATATTTGGGTGGCCTGTTCAATGACGGTAATAAAATAAAATATAACTATTAAAGACTTCTGATAGGTAATTGTGAACGCATTAATAATAAAAGATTATTTTGAAAATATTAAGCAGATAAAAAAAATTTTCCAACGCTTTATCATTAATAATCTTAAATAAGGTTTTATGCCCGACAGTTGAATTCGCAGCTCTGATCTTGAAATGAATTTGGTGTATAAACATAAGCTGAAATTGAGTGAAATAAGCCGAATTACGGCTTTTGCTGAAATGGCAACTGAAAAGTACCGTTATGAACATTGAAAATGCTCATTATGTAATAACATTTTCTTTATTAACAAATATAGTTTCTTCATTTTGAATTAAAAGGCGTGATGGGAAAACTAATGCAATTTTTATGAGGACACGTCTTTCAAATGATTTATTCAATACACGATTATTATAAGAAATACATATTTTTTTTCTTCTAAAATATTTGATGTTTTTTAGTGCCATTTAACTTTCACTTTTACCTCAAGACCACCTTAATATTAAATATATAATGGTTTATTGATTGGATCTTAATTTTAAAAAAAAGTCCTAACTCTTGGAACCCTTTTAACTCTCCCATGGAGTCGTTTAGTTACACAGAACACGATTTTCAAACCACTGTTTGTTCTACACTATATAGATGAAGTCCCTATAAATGAAAGTAATACCTTCTATTTTCATAATAGCTTCATTCGTAATTAAGTCTCTACTTTAAAAATGACATAATTCTTTAACTGTTTTGAGAAGTTGTGTCCCTTCGAATTTAATTTCTGAAAATGTTCTAAGTTGAATATTAATTTTTATATAATTTTATTCTTCTATTTATTTAATATTTAAATGACAGTAACTTTTATTCCTTTCAAACTTTTTTTTGTAATAGGTCTGATTAATTAAAGCAGGAAATATTTTTGTATTTGATTTTCATTGATTTCCCAATTGTTATGATTTGTAGTATGTCAAAATTTTGAAAAATAATCTTCTGTATTAAAAAATAATGTTACCAAGAAATTAAGATAAAAGTGGTTTCCCTCAAGAATTTTTTTAATTTATTATTTTATTGTGTTTGATTTTCATTAACTTCTAATTGTTATGATTTGTAGTGCGTCAAAACTTTGAAAAATAATTTTCTGTATTAAAAATTATGTAACCAAGAAATTAAGATAAAAGTGGTTTCCCTCAAGAATTTTTTAAAATTTATTATTTTATTGCGTTTGATTTTCATTGACTTCTAATTGTTATGATTTGTAGTGTGTCAAAACTTTGAGAAATAGTTTTCTGTATTAAAAATAATGTAACCAAGAAATTAAGATAAAAGTGGTTTCCCTCAAGAATTTTTTTAATATTCTTTTGTTTTTAATTTTCATTGATTTCCAATTGTTATGATTTGTAGTGCGTCAAAACATTGATTTCTGATTGTTATGATTTGTAATGCGTCAAAACATTGATTTCTGATTGTTATGATTTGTAATGCGTCAAAACTTTGAAAAATAATTTTCTGTATTAAATATAATGTAACCAAGAAATTAAGATAAAAGTAGTTTCCCTCAAGAATTTTTTTAATTTATTATTTTATTTTGCATGATTTTCATTGATTTCCAATTGTTATGATTTGTAGTGCGTCAAAACTTTGAAAAATAATTTTCTGTATTGAAAACAAAGATGACAAGAAATAAAGACAAAAATAATTTCACTCAGAAATTTTTTTTTTTAATGAAACGACATGATCACATAATAGGCACATAGCCACACCAATGTACGATCTTAGAGATCAGAATAATCAAATGAACTTAAATTAAAAGTTTGATTGTACTACATAACTGTCTATGCAACAGTGTTTTCTGTTTTGGCTAAAGACTGTAAAAAGCACAACATAAGGGTTTATGCAAATGGTAAACCAAATTAAGGTTCATTACTACTAATAAAATAAAAACATAAATGATTTCAATACAATATAAAATAATTAACAATAAATAATTTTTCATAACTGACACTGAGAGCTAAGTTTTTAATTTCTTCTAACACTATCTTTAAATAAATTAACAAAATAAAAAAAAAACTCACAAATAAAACTTCTTTCTTAGCTATATATGTAATCACAGAAGCTTTTTTTTTTTATACATGTAGATGATGTGTCATTTTTGGCAAGGGTGATTGTTAATCAGCAAAAATTCATTAAAAATATCAGATTTTATGTGATCTACAATTTTCTTGATATGTTCAAGGAATTTTATTTGATAGTTTATTTCTTAATAGTAGTAACGATCTTTCAACCAAAGTATAATCCTCTAAACTGAAACTCCATTGTGATCAAGGCAGCAGGAATACCAACCCGTAATGCAAGGAATAAAGTTTCAATTATTGAATTTAACTAAATATGTACCACTTATTAAGCACAGTATATTAATTTTTTTTAGAAATAAAAGATAAATTACATGATTGACAGGTAAAAAAAAGTTTTTAAAAGAAAGGGATCTTACATAAATAAAAAGTAATGTACCATAAAATAAGAATAAAGGCAAAAAAAAAATCTAGATTCCCGTAGTTTTTTTTAAAGCTGTCCGTAAAAATTCATGTACATATCCGTAAAATTACGGGTAGTGACGAAATTTCTATAAAATTAAAATTTGTATTAATTGGCATCCCTGAGTTAGTCCTTGAACATTATGGTGTTTATCCCTAAAGACAATCACCCTTGCATTTGGTTTACCACTGACCCTAAAATAACAAACATGCCTACTAATAATTGTCTTAACAATAATACTGTAGAGCAAAAGAACACTGCACATATGCCACGAAGACAGAAAAAGGAAACATTTAAATTATTGAATTGTGTGCTATGAAAATATTTACAAAAAGAACCATAGTATTTTACTACCCAAAAATGTTCTAATGTATGGCCCCCTGTCCTACCCCTTTGAATCTCCAGACCTCACTTAAAGAATAAACCCTTTATACATCTCGTACTTGATGTTTAAATAACATTAAGATACTTTGCACCATTTAAAAAAAAAACTTTTCAATATATTTAAATTCGAATATTTTTTTTACCAATAAATCAATATCATAATCATGTCAATTATATAGTAATTTTCTTTATAATTTACAATGCAACACACCTCCTTTAGAAGTCAATAATATGGTAAATTATTTTATACAAAATGAATACAATGTTTTCTTTATACAAACAATATATACAACGAGAGTTTATATATTCATTGTTCTGCAGTATGATTACTTTTTATTTTCTCTCTAAGCGCAAAGACACAACCTGTGTGTTACCTCTAAAACTCTGGAATGGCACATAAATAACATGGCAACTGCATCAGGAAAAATTAAGAGAAAAAAGAGATGCTGTTTTCAAGTTCCAGTTTAAGACACGACAGGTGCATGATCACAAGGTGGGGGGTTTTAGAGGGGAAGAAGTGCAAATGAAAAATCACAAGTATCCACCTCAAAATTTTGATAAATTATTTTGGTTTTTTTTCTTCCTCATTGATCCAAGACTTTAGATCACGATTCAATCTTCAACATGGGTGGGGAAAACAGTTTTTTGGATAAGTTCAGAGGTTGAGAAGAAGGTTCACCGGAAAGTTTGTAGGTTGTCTCAGACCTCGCGTTTGTCATGCCACCCGAGGATGGAGCACTAGGGGAGCTATGACCAACACCATTAATGACTAGAGGGGAAGCAGAAGATGCAGGGGATCTAGGATTGAACATGACCATCTTCGGAGACCCGGATCTTGAAGAATTGACCACCAGAGTTGAAGAGAAGTTGGATGTGTTTCTGTGAGAGTTCTGCGACATGTTTGAGGGTTCATACTGAGTGTGAACTTGTACAGGGGCTGCAGATGTTACAGTAGCAACAGGAGAGGGTTGTTGCTGACCAAAAGACCATGCAGAGAGTGTAACTGGCGTGTAAACAGATGTTTGCTGTGGATTGCCACTAGGTGGTACACAGTAACCATTTTGATAAACGAGTAGATTGCTTTTGTGCGTCTGAGCATTAGATGTGGCGTAGGTAAGGTTTGAAGGTGAAACAGGAGAACTATTAGGAACACTGTTGTAAGGATATGAATTGTTCTGCAAAGGGGGACTTGTAAGAAGCTGTGCCTCAGCATGATGTGATTGTGTTGAAGTTTGTTGATGATGTGGAAGTGAATGTGTCTGCTGGCCAGGTAGGGTCTCTTTTTGCATGATTATGTTATGAATTAGATCAGTTCTTTTTAACTGTTGTTCACTGAGATATCTAGGAGCTTGTTCTAAAGTTCTCGCCAGTGTGCTGTGCGTGCTAGCCAGTGATAGTTGGCTAGGACTTGAAGGACTTTCAGCTTCTCTACGTGCTGCTCGGAATTTTTTATGATGCCTGTAAGCTTCATCCATAAGCATGCTGGGTGGCATTATGGGAGGAGCTTGAAGTGCTCGTTTTAAAACTGGCATATCTTCAATAGAATCGTGTTTGTCATGCTGATCAGTGTCCATCACATCTTTCATTTTTTCTTCAGTAGAAGATCTGGGACTGGAACAATCTGAACTAGTGGGTGAAATACTTGGTTCTTTGCCGCTATCAATACCAGAGTCAGTAGGTGAATCTACTCTGTGCAATTTTGGATATAGTACAGCTTTCATGGGACTGTCAATGTAACATCCTTCATCTCCAGAGCTGCTACCGTGATCTGAACCAGGGTTTTCAGCCGGCCTCTCAGGCAATGAGTGATGATAATCAATATGGTTAGCTTCTGAATGCCAGACTTCTTCAGTCATATAGATACGAGAATTGGAGAAATTGGACATTCTCGGTGGACTTTTGATATCTTCATGACTAAGGCCATTACCAACTGACTTAGGAGATCCTATAAGATCATGTTCATCTTTGGAATCCATAATGCTCCATTCGCCACTTCCGTTACTGTTGCCGCTATGATGGCTATGTTGTCCAGGAGATGTACTTCTCAAGTCTTCCTCTGTGGGTAGACCAGGTGGATGCGATACTAGAGAGTACTGGTTCCATATATCATGGGGAACAGAATGTACGTCATATATGTCAGCCAGCTTCACTGATGTATCAGCAGCCATATTTTCAACCACACCATTAACAGTTGATGATGCCTGATTATGATGCTCCACGCTGTTAAGTTGACCTGGCACCGACTTCTCAGAATGTAATGTATTCAAAGTGCGAAGATCAGGAATCTTTTTTATCATTTCGTTGAACAAGGTTGGGTGGTCAGGATGATTAGCATTCACTGCTTTTCGAAGCAGGTCCATGATTCTCTGTTGCACTTTCAATACCAATTCTTTATTTCTCAAGCCAGGACGATCTGTGAAAAAAAGAAAGAAAAAAATTTAGCATTTAATATTAATTTATTTATATTTTTTTAATATTTTCTAATTATTTAATGTGACATATTTAATTGATTTTCTTAAGATTTTTAAATTAGTTTAAAAAATTAATTAACCCTGTTAAGTTCGTTAATTAAATTGAATTCTCATATTAAATTGAGTTCAAAATATTTTTTTAAGATCTTCTAATTATTTTACTTGACATATTTAATTGATTTTCTTTTAAGAGTTTTTAATTAGTTTGAATAATTAATTAACCCTGATTAGTTCGTTAATTAGATTCTTATTGGTTTGGTTAAAATATTGAAACTTACCTCCTGATATAACCACTACAGCACAGAATAATGCAATTTCAGTCTCCAACAGATGTAAAGAATTCAATCTCTCAGCAAAGTCGAACATGGAATCCAAAAGAAATCTGGCATTGCTTTGAGCTGGCAAAGTGTCACGACGCATCAGTTGACCATTCAGGCAGACCACTATACTGGCCTGAGAATCAAACATGCAAGCTAATCTCACCAAAAGTACTTCAAATACACCAGCCTATAAAAATAAATAAATAAAAAAAACATACAATTAGTTTATCACATGATAGATATCTAACTCAAATCATCTCAAACTTTCTAAATAAAATTAAACATGAATAAAATTCTAACAATATATTTACCTTAAGCAAGCAGATTTGGTCATCCTGGGATAAAAATGAAAACCCTGGTATTCTTTTGGTGAATTCTACAACTCCTTGGATAGCGGGGGCAAAGAACTCAGAGAATTCTTTCAAATTGGTTCCAGCTTCCATAATATGGGGAATAGGATTTATTGGACAAGTCTGTGTCTGTAAAAAAAATAATTGGCTTTTAATATTGCTGTTCAAAGAAAACTAAACTAACAAATTCGTTCAAAAATATTTTTTATACTTCAAACATTTAAAATACTCATAAATTCATTTAAAAAATTATAATTTAATAAATACATAAGTGCTTTGAGCAATATAGTGCAATACATTCCTAAAAGCGACATTTTTTATATCAACTTGTACCTCAAATAAGTATTTCATGTGTTTCTTCAATTTCCTTTATAGAGGAACAAAACACACAGAATATAAAATAACTTAGTTTTTTTTTAATACCTGAATGTACATTTTCTTTTCAACAATGCTTAAAATTTACAATCAAAATTTTACTATTTAATTATATAAGTGTATGTGCATACTTGAAATTAATAAATGAATTTAATCCAAAATACTTTTTTTTTTCTTTTAGCCCTCTTCAAATTTTTTCTTCATCATTCATAATTTTATAAACATATATATTCATAAAAATTTAAATAGAATTTCGAAATACTAATTTATTTAAATATATGTGAATTAATGTCTGCTAAAAAGTGTTATAATAAAAATTTTGTGTTGTAGTACACTCAAATTGTGCAAAAAAAAAAAAAAAAAAAAAAAAAAAAAAAAACGTACTTATTTAAATTTTTTTTCTTTTTTGCATAAATAAAATATAAGTATTTCAAAATTATACTCAATTTACCATCCTTACATTTTTTCAATTATTATTCCATAAATAAAATAAGGAAAAACCTTGGTTGAAAACTTATAAAAAAATTTCAGGATGATACAAACTATAGAAATTACTGCTTAATATTTGTGCAAGCGAGATTTAACCCAATAGTTCCCAAATTGATTAACCCTTTCTTGCAAATCCCAGTACTATATCTATACTTGTAAACACTTGCATTAAAAAAAAAAAAAAACTACTATAACAAAGTTTTATTGTGAAAAACGTTTAATGCGAAAAACATATATTTCTTTATTTTATTATAAATTATCTTTCACTACTCCGAAGTTGTATTTAATTTTTTAACCCTCAAAAAAATTATTTCAATCGAAAATAAAACCAAGGAAAAAACTTTCTGCGAAAAACTAAGATAAAAAATAAATTGAAAAGGATGCTTTTCCTGCGAAGCGCAGACTATAGAAATTATTGGTTAACCTTCGCGCAAGCGAGGTCGCAAGAGATTGGTGCAAACAGCCAGAGGAATTGTGCGCCTGTTCGCGACCTTGGCCTTGAATAGAAACTGACTATTGGAAGAGGTGCGTGATAGACTATCACTGCAGCCGTTATGGTGAAATTGCTTGCTCAGTGACGTCATTCCATGTCGCAGTTTTACTTTTTCAAAACGCCACTGAAAGAAGAAAAAAAAAAAAAAAAAACTCTTGCTCCAGTAAATTCGTTAACTTGATATCTTATTTTTTTTTTTTTCTTCGTACCGGAGTTCACATACCATTTAACCCAACCCTCCTTTTTTTCATTCCTACATCTGTCTAGACGTTTAAAAAGAATAAACGAAAATATTTGAGAGAAAAATATAATTGTGAATGCTTCTCAATAATTCACCGAATTATAAGAATTAAAAAGATGACTCAACTGGAACTAAATGATAAAAAAAATCACTATGTAAAATTTTAAATATGAGGAGTACTTATATGCTGATTATAAATATCAAATGATAAAAATCAGTGATTTTATTTCTAATATTATAATTAGAAACTCGATACAATAATCAGATATAATTCATTTGATATAACTCACTGATTACTATGCCAAACTGATAAAAAAAAGTGTCCCCATACCATCCAGAAGGTAGTCACTGTATTTAAATGTTACATAACTCTATTATATTAAATATATATAATATAATATAAAAATACTTTAATAAATTCATTTTAATAGTGACCAATAGTAATCATAACATTAAGAAAAATATTATCGCAATTTAAAAAAAAATAAATTCGATTTTGAAATCTTTTTAGAATTATGGAATCAGAATGATGAATTTAATTAACGTTAGGAAAAAAATTCTGTTATGAAATATTAAGTACTTATTCAAATTTATGATCTGAATTAAATAGTGGGATTATAATGGTTAAAACAGCAAATTTTAAACTTTGTTAGATGAATCATAATTTAAAATAAACTGAAATGTAAAATGAACCAGGAAGTAAAAATTATCAATAGGCGCAATGTTCATTTTACTTATGATAAATCAAGGTCTCCCTCTACCGCTGACCTTGCCAATGCCATTTTAAGAGAAAGCGAGGAGAAGACGTCAACTGGAATAGGATGAAAGCATAAAAATGAAATAAAAATCCAATATGGCGGCTCACATACACACCATTGCCTTGAGCAATTATTAGGATAGAGATGTTTTCAGAAAAGCACAGGCGTCGACCTTGGTTTTGAAAAGCATTTATCGCGTCTTTTTCTTTTTACGTTAACTGTTTGTGCTTCAAGTGGACTGAGTAGTAAAATAAAATGAGGTCAAGATCTAAATTGAAATGATTTTGTTGTTACAATTCGTGCTTTACGAGATTTATCAAATTTAAAAATCAATCTTATCTCCCTTCCGCGTTAATACGTGAATATAACATTGAATGAAACACTAATAAAAATAAAACCTATTATGAATGGGAATATTTAATTCTAGAGATTAATTAATTAATATATTTTAGATTTTATAATTATATCACCTCTTTTGGGTCATCCAAAAATATTGCATTTGTGTATTCAAAACTGAACATATAATTCTTAAAAACTAAATTTATAATCACAAATTTAGCTATCAAAAAATGTAATATTTTAGTTTATATATATGACTTAAATAATTATTAACCCTTATTGGCCCGGAAGTATTTCTAGTTCAACTTCTCATCAGATATAATTATAACGATTAATTATATAATTAACGTAATTGCAAAGATAACAGAAAAATAATATGAGATTTTCAAAAATTGATTTTAGCCATCATATATGAGTCGTATTAGTCCGTCTGTTAAGGGTTAATAATTAAGAAAACATTAAAAATAAAAGAGAGAAAATTTTTACCTGGGGAGTGTATTGAGCATACAGAGGGTGCGTTCTCGCTTTTTCCACAAGATTAGCCACCTTCTCTCTAGTAAAATCACTAGTTTCTTCGTGAGCCCGGACGATGTTAGCCAATATTTTGTATTCATCATCAAGTTCAGCACTTAGGGCTTTTTCTTGTGAGTCAGCATTCACTTTTTGCATGGCAGCCAAAATTTTAGCCTTCTCTCGCTTAGGTACGCGTCCAAATCGAACAGCTGCAAATAAAAAGAATTCCATTTAGGCTTAGCTATTGATGCGAAATTTCAACTAAAACTTCATCAAGTAAAAAATATCGTATGGTACAACACAATCGACATATAAGCAACGCAGAAATCAACTTTAAAGAGTGAATTAAATCAGCTGGACGTTTTTTTCTGAGTTACTAGTTGAATAATAATAAAATATAGAACATTCTCACAATTTAGTAACGCAGAAACCGAACTAGTTAGAATAAAATTAGTTTCAATCGTCGATATTTTCTGCGTAATGGCGTAAAAGTACTAAAATATTTATTATACTATAAATCCTTTCAAATTTTAATAATAAAAATATATCGGCATTAAGACTGAGCTAGGAAAAGATTTGGGATCACTTTTTGAATAACACATTGCATGCAAATATAAATATTTCGACATACCTATGGTGTGTTTGTTATTCACCAAGTTTCATTTATTCATTTTAATTCGAGTGACGTCATGAGCTTCGCAAAACAAATGAAATCAAAACAAAGGGCGATAAACAGTTATTAATAAAAATGTTGTTTCAGTGAATACCTGACCTTCACATTTTTCATGACTTTTTTTTTCCTCACACAATATGCATAAATGTATATCAATGATTTAATGTAAATACTTATTTAATTACTAGCTCACACTTATAACGTTAATCTATTATAATTGAGTGTTACAATAGATTAACGCTTTTATAATTTAATTTTTATAAGTAAAACTAGTCATAAATATATAGGCACGCTTCTAATATTTCCTTATCAATGTGAAATATTGTAAAGATATGTAAATAACCTTGAATTTCATGACACGATGACGTTTCTTGTGGTATTATGAAGAAAAATAGAAAAACATTTGCAGCTCAACTCAACCTTCAAAACTTCGGATAACACTCACTTCCTCCCTCCCACCTTTTGGCACAGCTCCAAACAGAAAAAAAATATTTACGCTAAATTTAAAAATTTTAACATAATTATTAAATTAAAAGCATTATTAATCTTAACGGTCAATTTATTTTAACCAAAAATCAGAATATTAATTTCAAATTGTGCAGTTAAAGGGTGAACATACTTTTAAATAATGCGTAGCGTCAAAGAACTTCAACAAAAGATAAAATTTAAAAATTCTTGGCTAGATATTTTTCTTTTTTACATCGTAGAATTACACAACTTAAAATATCCAAAAAAAAAAAAAAAAAAAAAAAAAAAAAAAAAAAAAAAAAAAAANAAAAAAAAAAAAAAAAAAAAAAAAAAAAAAAAAAAAAAAAAAAAAAAAAAAAAAAAAACACTATAATTTATGTTTGAAAAATGTATTTAACATATTAGTGCTACATAAAACTTTTTATAAATAATTGAAACCATATAAGTATAATTAAAATTACTAACAGACATTATATATATACATCAAATAGATGTTTTATGAATTTAAAAAAAAAAAATTGTTCAACAATGCTGGAAAAAATGATTTATAAAAAAGGTGAGAAAACAGCTAAATCATGAAAAATTTCACAAACAAGCGCAACTTACGCGTATCCTGGGCTTTCCGTGCGGTCTTTTTCCGCCTTCCAGCCGGGGTTTGAACCGGTGGAAAATCATTTCCACTAACCACATTATGTTGGTGTAACATCGTTGAAATGTTCTGAACAACTGAACTAGAACTATACACTGGTCTTTGGATAGGTATCATATACGGTGCAGTCCACGGTTTATCCGCGGTCAGCAAACGACTTAAAATACTCGTCATTTCTTTCGTTTAAATTAAGACTAGAATAAACGCACCACAAAAAGTCACGGAGCTTACATACGTATCGAAATACAATCAAAGAAGATTAAATATGCACATATTCACTTCGTAAATGAATTAAGTGATACGCAGGTTGTTGCTCACTTCGGAGAGCAGATGGAGAATAACAGTAGTTAATGGCAATCTTCAGTGACCAAGGACTCGAAGCGCCGAGGTTATTACACGACTGTTCGCCAATCTCGCCAAATGGGGGAAATGATAGTAAGTTTTTCCGAATTCAACCGCTCGCTATTGGCAAATACAAATTGCATCACTGATAAGGACTACTTTATGTACAAATATGGATACACGACTTTGCAATGACTAACTTAAAGAACATTTTCACAGTAATTTATTATAGATAAATTTCATTTTAATGTAATAGTAAAACGGAAAAAAAATATTAAGTAATTTTACTTCGAATTATAAGACCCCGATAAATTGGAATATTGATTATATAATATTGAGGTAGTTCTAGTTAATTATTTACGTTAGCAAATCTACTACTTATCCAGGAAATATAAAATACTGGTAGCAAAAACATTACAATTGTTTCCTTTTAGTCAGAAGCAGTTGGATATTAATGTACGATTGGAGGAAGTTTTAATTAGAAAAATAATAAAAAATTTGATGGAAAAGCGTAAAAGTTCTCTTAAAAGAAGGTACCAGTATTAAATCTTTTCCGAACAGGTAGCACTCCTGCTTTAAGTACTTATTGTAATGTTTGCATGTGGTGAATTTTAAATAGTATTGAAATAAAATTTAGCAATTGCAATACGAAATCATTTTAAAATTTTGATTTTAATTTGAACCTTATAACATTAAAAATACATTCACATTTCTGACTTCGAAAAAAATGTTTAAAAAAAATTACAAATATGTATATTGAAAGATTTTTATTATGACAATTGCTTTTCGTTGTGTTTAAAAATGGAATTGAAAGTCATAAAATTATCAAGATTGGAAAATGTACAACCCTTTATAATATTTTCGTTATCAGCTTATTCCGCGTAATTGTATTTAAATAAAGCTTAAAAATGATAGCCCTTTTGTCTCAAGTATAGACTTTATTTTAGTAATCTTAATTTTAAAAAAAAATTTAAAACATAAATTTCTTGATTTCCTAATACATTGAAATCGTTCGATTATTTTTTGCATTTGATAGTTGGCGAATGAGAAAAAGCGCCAAAGGAGAAAGAAAAAGATAAGGAAGAGATGGGATGTTGTACGGAATAGTAACTAGCGCCCTCTAACGCTTCGTAGCTATAACGTAGCCTTGAACTTGTTTCTCTTAGTATAGGCGACCTACTTTTACTGCTCCTCGACCTTCAAGTTGGCATTTACCTCTGGCGCCCGTATCGCTTTTTCCCAGGTCGATATTTTGTCACATTAAGCACATTCAATGGGAAAAGTTTTTATGTAAGGCGAATGCAAAAATTGCAAGAGAAATCTAAGGGACGGCACAATCATTCAAGTCTATCCCCCCTCCTTTTTTTAAAGTATTGTCAGACAAAAAAAAAACACAAATTAAAAAAAAAAGAAAAAATTGAAGCAAAATTATTTTTAAAAAATTGAAAAATGTAACTAATTGATTAGTAATTCATTTATACACAAGCTTAATTTTATGCTTACAGCATTGTTGAAAGATTCCTTAACAATACTAAATTTAAAATCACCACAATATTTTTTATTTTCATTTATTTTTCTGATAAGAAGTTCTCAAAAGGGCATCCTATACAATAAAAATTTAACAACAATTAACCTATTTCGATATCTTTACCTATGATAATAGGAATATGTTCACATGAATTTCATAATAAGAGGAATATATTAACATATTAGTAGAATTACATACCAGTAGAATAATTCTGCTAAAAATATTCAACTTATTTATAAATGTTTATCGAATTTTAATTTTTATTGTAATAAGAAAACTTTAAAAAAATAAGATACGAAATTATCCCAATTCTCCTAAACAAACAAATAATTATCCGAATTCACCTAAACAAAAAAATAATTATCCCAATTCTCCTAAACAACAACAAAAAAAAAAGAAAAGACTTTTGCCCTTTAAGTACAATTAATTCTCCTTCAAAATAACAGCACGGCTGAAAGTGCAAACGGCTATGAAGATTTCAAAGGTCAGCTCAGAAGTCAGGAAACAATTATTCAGGAGTTATAAAACCCTAGGGACGAACGGATGCATTATTTTTAATCTATTAATACGCACGGTAGAGAAATAATAAAGCAATCACTAAAATTAGAACTTATGGCAGGAAGGGAGGGGGGAGAGAGATTATAATTGGAAAACTGTTCTTTCATATCATAACCAACGCCCGAAATCTCTATAATAACTTCAGAGGAGAAAGTTGAATGGAAGGGGTTAACAGTAAAAAGATTCGTCGCCAAACAGAAGAAGCGTTTGGCACGAAACGGAGATCGATTTTTCTACACGTGGATTGTTAACGCATCCTTTTTTCTGGAAAACCTTCAGACGAAAGAGCACTTTCCCAAGACGTAAACAGCCTGCGTTTCATATGGTTGACCTTGTCCTCTAAAAGGAATCTGGTTTTTATTTATTTTTTTATTCTTACGTGTTCGATATTTTCAGTTCATTCCTTGATCAATAACAAGAGTTTTTTTTCTTTCTTTTTTTGCGATGGTTGCAACGGATTTTGTCATCAAGCCAACTTATGTAGAACAATAATGTTATTGAAGAAAAGAAAACGATAAATAACTAATTCTAAATACATTTTATTAAAAAAACTAAAATTGTCTGCAAAAAATAAACATAACAATTAAAAAATAATAATAAGGTTGCTTCTTAAAAATCATTTGCATATAACAAGTTTAAAAATAGTTTGCGTATATAACAAGATTAAAAATCGCTTGCATATATAACAAATTTAAAAATCGTTTGCGTATATAACAAGATTAAAAATCGTTTGCAGGCAAAGTTCACATATTAAACATTAGTGAGATAACGTGAATCAGCATGCCTCACCCCTAAATAACCTTTAAAAAATTTTATTCAGAGGAAGCAACCAGAGGAACTCCTTGAAAAATTATAACAATACTAATTTGCGTAACTGCTAGAAAACTATTTTGAAAGAGAGGAACACATCAAAAAATGTTATCGTCTGCTGTCTGGTGACATTAAGGGATGTTGCATCATTCTCAAGCACATGCCAGGAAACTCTTATCAGTCAATAACAAATTTTTGCAAATGTTTACAATAAAGAGAATAGAATAAACTAGAAACTAAGGTATAATTTATATAAGCCTGGTGTCAATTTCCCATGAAATGCGGAACTAATGTCCAATTTTATCACATTTTATGAAAAATAAAAATGAATGACTTTGTAACATTGAAACTATTTATTTTCAATGTTTAAAAACAAATTTATCTGAATCAGACGGCCATCACGTAATCCACAGTCATAGTAATATTCCAGGTATTTTTAATAGTGATAAATAGTATTTTTTATTAACAAACTAAACATAAAATAGTTCGATGCAAATGTAATTAATTTACTAAAAATACATTAACAAAAAAGTACTTTTAGCAACTTTACACTCAATTAATTATAAGTTTTATAAATTTAAAAAAAAAAAAAAAAAAAAACTGTTTTATGTTCTACGGAAGAAAAAAATTATCGTATTTTGAGAACAAATGAGAAAAAAAAACGAGCGCATTAAGTGTAAACTGCTAATAAGGATTTAAAAATCCGTATTTGTATGTACCCTAAATTTGCGAAATTGTTTAAAAACGTCTTATTAACGACTTCCTGTAACAAAATTCAAAATATCACAAGAGACAAATAGCGCCAAGCTAGAGATTATGCGCCAATTGTAAAAGAGAAAAATGATCTAAAGAAGGAGCAGTGAAACGTGCATGAGAGTGAGAGGGAGTGAAGCGCATATTGAGCTGACCTTGAACTGCGGCATATAAACATGAAGTCCAAATTGGGAAACAGTCGATGCCTATACCCAACTGTCTCAGGATGAAAGTAACGTGACCGATATTTTGTGATTCGACGGTGGTGCTGCCATCTAGGAACGGATCATTGAACTACATTTCAGAGCTTAAATAATAGTAATAAAAAAAAAGAAGATCGGAATATGCTTGCTATCCATTATTGTTCCAGAACACAACTTAAGAAATTAAATTAATATATTTTTATCAGGACAAGTTAATATTTGATTTCATCAATATACTCTCATAATAATAACGTCTAAATCTCTAACCGAAAAAAAAAAAAAAAAATTTGAATTACACTTGACTGACATAAAAAAAATAAATGTTCTAAATGACAAACTCACTAATTTCAAGAAATTTGTTAAAATAGGTTTATAAATCAAGCATGTTTTCTCACTTTTTTTTCTTCTTCTTTTAAATAATAAAAACGAAGAATTGCAATAATATTTTTTCAATCTATCTGATTTAAATTCTAAAATCTAAATTCAAATTATTTAAAGCTAAATAAGCATAAAAATAAATATAATAATAAAAAAAACTTTTGACTTACCATCCCTAGACATTCCAACAGCAATACACTTTTTCAAACGGCAATATTGACATCGATTACGATTAATCCTCAAAATAGAACATTGCTGATTTTTCGTACAAGGCCTATACTGTATTTTTTGTTGAATGCTTCTCCGGAAAAACCCCTGCAAATAAATGTATAATTTAAGATCAGCTGATTTTCAACTTTGGCTGATTTTTAATAATATAATATTATACAACTTAAAATGGTCGAAAATAATGTTTATAAAAATTAACTCTTTTATTCATCTAAGTATTTACTGGTAAAAGAAATTCATTTAATACATTGAATAAAATACTCGTATTTACGGCTATTAAGGTAAACAAGAAAAATTAAACCATTTTACTTGAATAATAGTTTTTAATGCATAATTTATAACTTCATAACAATATCTGCTCGCAAAATAAACATTCCATGAACGGCAAAACTTACACTTTTCAAATTGTTATTTCCAACACACGAAGCCTTAGGTTTCACACTTTTCAGGCACATTAATAAATAATAAATATCACGATATTGCAGTAAGAATTTCACTAAGCTCGCACTCAAAATCACGAAATTGCACCAAACAAACAAAAGACGACACTCAAAATAAATAAATGACTAGCTGTAGATAGACGAGGTAAAATATCGCTCACATCAGCATATTAAAAGGCAAAAACAGAAACATATCTCACACCGCTTTGAGACAATAACTGGTTTACTGTATTTCATTAAAAGCGAGCTGAGCATTCCAAATCAAATTCCATTTTCCCCGTGAACGAAACAGCAGCAAAGAAAACGCAAACGATACGTGCACACTGCTCAAAATCCAAAGAGAAACTGTAACTGGGTCTAACTAACATCGCAAAACGCTTCCTACTTCGATTTTTTTTCATTATATTTTATTCGAGCAGTCCCCAATAAACTCCAAACAATTTAGGTCAGGCCAAACGGCTACTCCAAAAACAAGGCATGAAGGGGGGGGGGAGAAACAAGGGGGAAAACAGAGCTATAAGTTACGCAAACTCCCCAACATACATTATGACCCGATTTCATAAAAAAGTTCATTGACCGATGGCACACTTTTCATGAAAGTGAAAGTTTCCTAATGGGGAGGGTAAGCAATAAGCAGTGACGTTTCATCAAAGGGGGAAGGAATTAAAAATCACGTGATATATATTCAAGTTCAGTTTGGAGCTGATCTGGACCGATATATGTGTAGGGAAGGGATTGTGTTCGAATTGGAAAAAAAGAAAAGAAAAAAAAAATGAAATTAAAATAAGTGCAAGCACCATAGGCCGTTGACCCGGTTGGCCTGGAAGTTGGGTTACACTCGGTCATTCACCCTGCAGAATACCGCTCAGTGACGTCATGTCATGAAGCAATTCTCATTGGACAACTGTTTCATCTGGGGTGGAACTGCTGATTGCTCAGAGTGGAGGTTACTAGGTGGAACACATGTGTTCATATTCCCCCCTCCTTTTGTTGATTCTTATGTTATTCAATAAATGTAACAATAATTGTTTTCTTTTGTTGAGTTGCACATTACTGTTACATTTTTATGATATGCTAGCATTTTTTTCATTCATCTAATCATTAAAAAATGTATTGATACTTATGGGACAGAAATTTGTGGCATTCATAATATACTGCTTAGATTAAATTGTTAACAATTATTAATAATTCTTACAGTTTGCACAACGCGTTGCTTTTTTATTTTATCTAATCGTTTCTATTAATATTAAAATGCATTAATAATTTTGAGATAGAATTTATGGCATTTGTAAGATTGTTTTTAACTATAGCTTTTTTATTTTATCGCTTTTTACAATACAGTACATAACGTAATTTTTAATTACATTTTATAATTCGCTAAATTACGTGTGTAGATCAAACATTTTAAAATATAGATCTTTTTTATCGCTTATTCAATTGTATTTTATTAAAATATTATTAAATATTATTCATATTATTAAAATATATTATTTTTTGAAACGCATGAAGATTTAAAATTATTATTATCAATTTTTTACACTTTAAAACAGATTTTATTTCGTACTTCTAATATGTGAAAAACTGTACTACAACAAATGTAAGTTTCTAATTAATAAGAACATTTCATTTTTTTTATTGCATAATTAGTTGTAATATAAAATTTCCGATAGCAACAAATGTGGCGAAAGATAAAATAATTAATAATTCTTCACCTTTATGTACAGAACGTTAACTATTAAATATTTTCATTATAGTTATTACTGTTAAAATATGTGAAATTAAAATTTATACAAAACAAAAATATAAAACAATCTATAAATATTGTAAACTCAAAATATTTAAATATAATTAGATATTTAGAATCTAAATGGTTTTTCCGATAATTATGATTTAAAAAATCACTCACAAATTTATTAATAGAAACTATAGGAAGGATACAATTAAAATTTATCAAAAATGCGTGGTAAATTTTAGAGTTGTATAATGTTATACTAAATATAATGTATAAATGCAATTTAATTTAGTGGATAATAATAATTTAATGCACAAAATAATAAGTGGATAATAATAATATAATACATAAAAATCATATCAGACCTTGCATTTATCCACTGTCATAAATTTCTTGAGATTTCGACAAATTTAAAAAAAAAAAATTCATCAATAGGAGAAAATTAGTGAATAACTTCTTAAGTAAAGAAATATTCGAAAGCTTAATAAAATCCAAAGCACTAACAAACTCTGTTGCCACCACTAGAACAAAAACCTACATTCAGAATAACACAGGAAGCAGACGAACTCACAGCGGTTGTTGAACCCCAGCATCACGGGTAACCCTGAACTTGAACAACAACCAATCACTTTCTTGACTACTTCCAGGGCAATGACCAATGAATGACTCTCGTGAACAACACGTGATTCGCTTTGGGTATTTGGTACTTCATTAAATAATTGTTTATAAATAGTCCCAATACTTACATTTTAAAATATCATAAACTGTTTGTTTTTTATATATATAGAAAAGTAAAAAAGGAATGTTTAAAATTTCTATTTCAAGTATTTTAGTTAATATAAAATTAATTCTCGTTATTAGAAAAATCATGTTTTTCTTTTCTTTTTTTTTGGTCTATAAATAATAAAAATTTTCTTGTAAGTCCATTAAATAATACTTGATTATTTTTTTTTTTAAATTAGCAAAATATAGCATAGAAATTTTTAGTTTAAACTTACTGTAAATTTAAATAATATTTTATTGCTATAAAAAATTCGTTAAATATAAACTAATATATCGATTTTAATTCTTTAGGAAAAAAGCGTGCGTCATTTATAAGTTCGCAATGCGCTAAATTAATCAGACACTAAAAATATTTAAATATATCAATAAACTTCATTTGAAATTTCTCATTTCAGAAGTGAGTATGAAAAAAAAAAAACTTTACCAATTTAAGTAAGAAAAAAAAAATTTTGTTTAACCTTCCTATTACATTTAAAATCATTTAATCACAAAAATGTGTGTTCCTAGTTTCTTGTTCATTTATTAAGAAAAAAATATTCTTTATAAGTGGCGAAATTTTAATAAAAGTAAATTAATAAATAAATAAATATATATATATATCAACATTCAATTTTTTATAATCCATAATCGAAGATAGTTTTGAATGGGTCAACGACCTCTTAAAGAATACTCCAGAAGATCTTGGAATCGTAATGCTAGGTCATTCACCTCAAGGAGGGGATGATTTCAAGGCCAACTACTAATGATACATTGATATACTTAACTCTACTCTTTTTTTTTAATATATTAAATAACATTGTATTGATACTTTAAATGTTTTTAATCAGTAATTTTCAATTTCAAACACATAACTTAGCAAAATTGCAAATTCGAAAAATAAATAAATTATGTATTAAAATTACTTGATTTCAAATTGAATTTAAAGTGGATTTTGTATTGCTTACCTTACAGCCTTCACAAGAATGAACGCCATAATGAAATCCACTAGCCTTATCACCACAGACTCTGCAGAGAACTGTTGTACCATCAAATTCTGCAAAAAGAACAAAATAAAGAAATTTAGTTTTCAGTTTTGTACAAAACAACAACACATTCTTAAATATATTTTTAATACCTATCTCAGACGTAACAGTTTAATATTTTTATCGAAAACAATTTTTCCGTCAAATATTAACTCCACTCAAAAATAAATTTCTAAAAAATTTATAATTGAGGGGGGCATTTACACAAAATTACATTAATTTGCTTTCATTTTAACATTTTTACTATTTAGGAACTATATACAAAAAATTTATGATCGAGGACATTTACACAAAATTGCATTAATTTGCTTTAATTTTATAATATTTTCACTTCAATTTTACTATTTTGAAATTAATGTAAAATACAATTTTTTTTGTTTATAACAAAATGCAATAATACAAATTTCAATATTTTAATATAACATTTTTGAAGTAAACGCATTTTTATATTACTTATTACGGATTGTTACAAATTAATAATATTTTAAGAATTTGTCCAGCTTCATATTATTACTTTTTTAAAGTCGTTAAAGTATTACTTATTATTGAAAAAAATTTTCTAAAAATTCTTAAATAATTTTAACAAACTTGCCATGCTTTTAAATATCAGTCATCTTCTTTTAAAAATATTTTTTTTACATTTTAATGATATTAAATACATTAAAAAATGATAAACTTAAAGTTATTTTCTTAATTTCACACATACAACTTACTTTATTCACAACTATTTATTTTAACCAGAAATTTTATTTGCATTATGTTCGTGAATTATACTTACATTTCAGTTTTAACCGCAATTCAAGAATTTTTTTTAAATATGCATATATTATCATAACAATTTTGTCTTAGCATACAAAAAAAAAAAAAAAAAAAAAAAAAAAAAAAAAAAAAATAGTAAGAGCAAAAAATTACAAATCATTTTCTGTACATATCTTCTTGTACATAAATTAGATACATTTTTTTGAGTGGGGGAGATGAAACGCTTTAAAAAAAAATGTCCCCTTCGTGAACTAGCTGAAATCGGGGGTGGCTAGAGTGCGCTCCTTTGTGACAGTAGTAGATGAACGCTCGAGTTCAATGACCTCGCGCGTAGCTCACATCTAAAATCGGAAGTGTAGTTGGTAACAATGTTGTAAGTGGGAAAAGGCAGGGGAAAAAAACAAACTGGGGCAGATAATTTAAAAAGCTTTCATCATCATGAGGAGATATATTTAATTTTAAAGGCATGATTTATGTGAGCATCTATGAGTTAGTAAATATGAGATAATAATAATAAAATAAATATGCGCAGTAATAAGCTTTAACTTCGAATTATAGATCTTTTGACGCTAATTGTTACGTTGCATTTAATACTATAAATCAATCTCATTCATTTTCCCTCAATCAATCATTTGCAATTTATTTTATTTCAAAAAAAAAAATTTTTTTTTTAAAGCATTCACATAAATTTTAAACATATTCAATTCCTATTATTTCCAAACATAGTCAATTCATATAAATTCCAAACGTGTTTCGTTCATTATTATTTCCAAACATATTCAATTTATATTATTTCTTAACATATTCAATAATTTTTTTTTTTTAAACGTTGCGTCTACTAGCAGATCTTACCACGAACGAACGAACTAGTAGATCTTAAACTTCTTAACGGAATTTATGAAGTTTAAGATCTACTAGTTATCAATTACGAATAAAATTGTAACGAATTCACTATTATTTACTTTCGCATATAATAGTGAAATTAACTATTTTAAAAAGATAACTAGAAAAATAATCGTTTAATCGTAGTAAATAAATATATTTATAAAAATTCTCAAGTAAGATTATAGTTTAACATGATATGGAAATTAGTTAATTTTTGATAACGTGTTAATTTATTCAAACGTAATAGCAGTAATACAGAATAAAACATTAAATTCCTTTCAAAAATACTGAAAGATGAAAAAGCATGGTATGCTTTTTTTCACCTAGTGCTAAGTACACTTGCAGGAAAAACAAAGATACAGATGAAAAAGTTTCAACGATATATCGTTGGTCGCAATGTAGATAATGGAATAACTTAACAGTTTGTTTCTATTTTGAAAACTAATCATAAAATAATTACTTTAAAACTATTTTCTTTCTTACAATGGTTTTAAAATTTAATATGATTAATAAAGATTTCTAAATCTGATTATATATATATAATACATATATTTAATATTTAATTAAAAAAATTAATTTATAATTTATGCTTAAAAGCTGTTTTAAATGCCCTAAATAAGATAAAATATTTATATTTAAGCAATGTACATAAGTAGTATTTTGGGATACATCGAAAGGTCAATGAACTTCAGGATTATTTAATCAACAAAAAAATTTTTTTTTTTGATTTAAAAAAAAAAGTATAAAATAAATGTAAAAAGAAAATGATTTCATTAAATATATGATACAGTCAAATCAATTAAATTGCAAAAAAAAATTGCAATATAAAAACGTATTGATAATTTCATATATGAAACCTTTGTCTAAGTATATGAACTAAGGTCATTAAGCTTTTAAATTTTATCTGATATAAAACTAATAAACGAATATATCTATACATAAATAAATAAAACATATGACATTTAACAATATTTAAATTATTCAAAAATTTTTAAATTCATAAAAAAACATTTTTGTAATAATAACATAGTAACTAGAGTTGGTTAAAAAATTATATAAAAGTTAAAAACTTAATAGTAGTTATATTTCATCTTTAATATAAATTATAGGTAATAAAACAACACGGGAAATTTTAAATTTTGATTCATATTGCATTAAATTACTATTACCTAATTTCATCATAATAATATAGAAGAGAAAAAACGTTTCTTTAATTATTACCCCACTCCTTACGTAATGCCTTTTTGAAAGGATAAAACGTAGAACTTTGATCAATACTTTTGATCTTGAATTTATTTAACAAAAAATAATTTCAAGTTGGAGGGAAATTTAACTTTCTTGCACAGGTCATGGAAATTTGTGGACAAAACACAGTTAGGGTGACCGAAGGCGGTTAATGACCTCACGTGACCGGCGTCGGGAGATGCTGAGTAAAATGAGCTGACTCATTCCTCAATAATTTCGTTATAAATTGAAGATAAATTTATTTTTGCGAATTTATATACATCGGAAATAGCAAAAGCACGATCTTAAAAATAATTTACCCCACAATTAAATTCCTTAGAAACTTATGAAAAATGTTTTTTTTTTTTTTTTTTTTTTTTTTTTTAAATTTCTATCACACAAAAAATTAATGATTTTTTAGAGTTATTTAAATTATTCCACACCTTCAGTTCAGAAATAGTTTGCACTATTTACTAAAATTAAATAAAACACATTTGCATTTATGGAACTGCATTAATATATAATAGCGCAAACTAAAAATTTAACTACAAAAATTTTTAACTCCATAACGTTAGTAATAATTCTACCATTAAAGATGATAGATATCTAGTTCATAAAGAAAAGAAAATAAAGTCAAAATGGATAAAAAAAATTGATGAAAATTTTTTTTCGAGAAATAATTGTTAATTTCAAAATAAAATTTATTAAAAAAAACCCATTAAATTGTATGTAATAAAAAAAATGAACACAAATAAATTTATGACAATAAAAAAAAACAGTTGAAAAAGAAATTAAATGTTCAAACAGTAAAGTTAAATAAAATTAAAATTAGCAAAGTTAAAACTAAAATAAAAAAAATACTAATAAATAAAATTTAAAAAAAAGCTTTTATGACAATGTAAGATTTGAGGTTTAATTAATTCTACTTTCTTGGTATTATTTTATTTTCTATTATAATTTATGTTGCGATAAAATGAAAAAAAAATTTTTTTCCACAGAAATGTTTATAAGATTTCAGGTTATTGACCGAATACTTGTGTATTTTTCTGAAAATATTTTAGAAAGCTGAGCTTTTTTGTGTTATCGGTAATTGAACTTAATTGTTTTTGATGATACCCAAAAATGTAGAAATCAGTAGGTCAGTAACCTTTAGGTCAAATCTCTGTTGACAGGGGGCATTGACAGTGTAACAAACAGTGAAACTTTGCCCACACTTTTCTCAGCACTATCACCGCTAGTCCGCCATCTTTGTTTCCATAGTAACGCAGTTGTCATGGAAACTCTTCGCATCCGGCCATCGACCTTGGGAGTTTCGTTTTCTCCCGGCATCCTGTATTCCTAACAATATGGCGGCCTCCTCGTGAAAAACACTAACAAGTTATTAACAGACGATCTGCGTTATTCCAATGATGCTCGTTATTCAAATGGTAATCTTTTTTTCAGTCTCATTTCAACTAATTGACTTCGATAATTAACAATTTGGTCTTCCATGCGATAATAAAAAAGTTGACAAAGTAAACATAATCTATACATATAATATAGACGTTGAAACTAATATATACAATAAAACTTCATAATAAGAATGAAACAGCAGTTTTTTTTTTAAACTATTCTTAAAACTTGCAATTTTGTAGAAGCTAGTAAAAATTAAATCTAATTAACAAGAAAAATTCACGTTAACAATAATTCAATATTAAGGTTCATCAGAAAAAACAAAACAAAACTAAGGTTCATCAGAAAAAAAAACAAAGTTTTTGAGTTTAAACAAAGAAACTGCAAATTCAATACTTGTTGTTTACATTATTAGGTATTGCAAAAGAGTACATCAAAATTATTTTTAAACATAAGATCACGATAAACATTTCGCTAAAATTATTTTGAAACTGAGTATTTGCTAAAAAAGAGAAATCCCAAGTACTACACTATATTTAATAGAATTTTTTTTTTAAAATTAAGTTTTCATTTGATATTTTTAAAAAAGTTAATGATTTTAAAAAGCAGCTCATTTTTATAGAGAAGAGAAGATTAAATGTAATTTTATCATTCCCCACACTTTTAGTCTTAATTTCATTTAAATAAAAGTTTTTAAAAGTAAAAAAGATCAACAAAATTTACACTGGAATACATTTTATATTCACTAATTTTCTGAATATTTTGCTTAATTTTAAGGGGGCAACCTCTAATTTATATTTTAAAGTCTGGTTTTACTTAAATCAAATTCTGACAATCAAAGGCTCACAAATAGCTAAATAAAAGAATTTATCAGTAAAAAGAGGAACAGATAGATAAGTAATGATATTATTCAATAAATATTTACCAATTTTCAGGTCATTTTCCCGTTTTTCCTGTTCAGGCACTGAGGCTGGGAGGGAATTTAAAAGTTGCAAGTCTTTCTCACTTAGAATCATTTTGACAAGAAAAAATCCAAGACAAATAATAAACGGCAATAGATCACAGGCAGTAGCCACCAGTAAGGATAATATAAAAACTTTATCTCAAATATAAACTCTGATGAGGTTTAAAAATTCTCGTAACAAAATATATTCCTACAATTTCTCATTCTTCATCAAATTCACAAAATTACAGCATCCAAAAATTGTGGTAAACACACGTTGACCAGCAACATGTGATGTAAATAGAAAATCCAAATCCTTGATACACCATAAATACAAATAGAAAGTATACGTAGTTACATTATCCTTCGCGGAGGGAAAACAATCACAGATGATGTGCCGGTATCGAATTCAAGGTCTGAACTGACAGTGAAAGTTGTTAGGTAGGCTATGTTATGCCCAAAGATTCGTTCAGGTGTGGTAGTTTCACAAAACCGGTACGTCCAGAATCTAGCAACTCAATGATTAAAGAAGAACCTTTCGCTTCAATGTTAGCTTCAAGTTCAGTTTGTTATTTTTTTGGAAAGACGAAAGCCGGCAAGAAGCTTCCGGAGCCAATGGGAATGCGAGTTCAATGCGGCTCGGAAATGTTAGGGTTCCGTCCATTGGTGGAAGAGGATTTCTCTTGCAAGAGGCCACGCCTACCGTCAGAGGTTCAATGACCGTCGATTACCAACACCGCTTCTATTCTGTTGTAACTTTGATCAGTGTGTCAGAAGCTCGGGTTTTTGGCGCTCCTTTTGGCGAAAGTTGAGATTTTCTGCCTTTAGGCCTCTCCGATACTCTCGATTTTCCTCCATCGCGTTTCTGATAGAATGCGAGGTGAGAGTATCTATCTGGGTTTTAGTTATGTGTCAGTCATGGGATTTTAGAATACACTCTCATTTCCATTATCTTTACCTTTAGAGTAAGTTGGATTATAATGAGGTTCATTTTCCCGAATCATAAAGGATTAAAACTAATTATCATTTTAAACATTCTTATTTACTTAAGTATGTATTTAAAACAAATAGCTAAGTTTTATGAACAAAGTTAGTTTAATGATGTAATGTTAAAATGCTAATTCGTAGTCTTAATAATTTTGCAAAATATTGATTTAAATTAAAGCATAGTTAATATATATATATATATATAAAACAAATTATATTAAGGCAAGATTTGTTTAGTAAAATTATGATCGGGAATATAAGAAATGTTATAGCAGAAAACATAGAATAAGAAAAATAATTTTTATAGCTTTTGTAAAACTCAAAAACATGATTTTTGGAAAAAGAATTTAATTATTATTAAATTCAAGTCTAAATAAATTATAAAATTTACATATAATACCAAGTCTAAGGATTTTACGCAATTAAAAATCAACTATTTTTATTCATCTTACAGTATCTTTCCTTTCCATATTTTTTTTTATTTTCTTATTTTAATTGCCAACGAGTAACCAATATTTTTATATTATTTATAATCCAGATTTTTTTTTTTAATTTTCTTTATTGTCATAAAAATAACGTAAATAAGGAAAGATATTACTATATATTTTTTAAAAATAATCAAATTTTACACATTTATCTTACCCATTCCTAGCATTCTAAATAACTCTGAAAATTTTTATTTTATTCAAAACGATTTGCTTTGAAATAAATTTTATACAAGGCATTAAATTCAAACTAATTTTAAATTGGTCATTATGATTAGCCCGCAATTTAAAATATACTATGCTATTTTAAGCTGTGTAAATAAAAAAATATATATATGTAATTAAATAGCGATGTATATAAATAATCGAAAAACATATGTATATATATATATATTTATTATAACGAAGAATATTACATTATTTTTATTTTTTTTTATGAAGAGGGAAAATGAAATTAATATGCTTAGCATTGGAAATTATGCAATTTTTACAAGTGTAGGTGTATTCTTAAAGAATGAAAATCAGTGATTAGGAGGGAAATGAGATTAAGAAAAACAAATAAACAAGACAAAACTCTGAAACAGGTTAGAAGAAGAGGGAGAAAAAAGGGTGAAAAGAAAATGGTTTCAAGGGCGCGGAGAGAGTGACTGACACGGGTTTAACCTTTTTTAATCGTCACGTTCGCCAACCAGCATTCATTTCACAACGAACCCTAATGGCAAATACATTTACATAACACGTTAATGTTTTTTAAACGCTTAAATACAACATTTCTATTTTACTCGCTTTATAAGAAATGAAAAGAAAATTGACACGTTCTTTATTATTTAATGAATTAATTTTAAATTCATATCGTTACATAACATCTTAATGTTTTCAATCGCTTTAATGCAGCATTTTTATTTTATCTGTTTAACACGAAATGAATAGAAATCTGATACATTCTTTATTATTTCTTTTAAATAGTTTTAAATACAAATTATTTACATAACATGTTAATGTTTTTAACCGTTTTCATACCGTATTTTTATTTTATCTACTTAGTCAAATAGTTTTAACGACAAATTATTTACTTAACATGTTAATGTTTTCAATCGCTTTAATACAGCATTTTTTATTTTATCTGTTTAACATGAAATGAATAGGAATCTGATACATTCTTCATTATTTCTTTTAAATAGTTTTAAATACAAATTATTTAGATAACATGTTAATGTTTTCAATAGCTTTAATAGACTATTTTTATTTTATCTGCCTTACATGAAATGAATAGAAATTTTATGCATTCTTTATTGCTTCCATTAAGTAGTTATAAAGACAAATTATTTTCCTATTTTTAATCGCTTTACACCAGCATTTTTATTTCATTCGTTTAATAAGAAATGAAAAGAAAATTTAAAAAATTTAAACTGTTTTAATAAAATAGTTTTAAATACAAAGCATGTTAATGTTTTTAATTAATTTAATCCGGTATTTTTATATTATACGCTTTATAAGAAAGGAAAAGAAAACTGAAACCTCCTTTATTATTTTAATTTAATCGTTTTAAATACTAATAAGTCTTAATTTATCGCCAATTAATATCGTATATCATTGTAGTGCTGCGGGAATTTTATTGTGTTTAGTAGCTTTATTCTAGCATTTCATAGTTTGTCAGCTTTGGAGAAATACAAAAAACTATTACATTATATCAGTTTAATCTTTTAAAGTAAAAAATAAATAAGTTTTAAAACATATTAAACGTTTTTAATAGGTTTATTCTAGCACTCTTATTCTATCAGCAGTCGAAATTAAAAAAAAAAGTTTTATTCTTATATATAGATCAATTAGTTACTTTAAATGCATAAAAATATTTTAAGATTATATCGATAGTTAATATAAATTTTTTTTCTCGTGATATTGCAACATGTGATTAAATTATTTGGAATTTAATCGCTTCATTCCATTCTTACTTCAACAGTTTTGAAATTGATACAATACATTCTTTACTACCATGTTATTTATTATTATTAGAATAAGAAATATAAATAACAAGGTATAGAATACAAAAATATATATATTCCTTTATTTTAGAGGGAAAATAACATTAAAAAAATTATTTTTCAGCAGTTTTAACATTTTTTTCCCGTTGTCCATAATAAAAATTGATAGAGTAAAAGTTATTACAGTCTTGTCCTTAAATTGTACTTCAAACTCGTTACATTGTTATCGTTTAATTTATTATACTACATTCATTTTGTAAGTCCAGTCTAAATATAAATAAGAAGACCTTAGATAAATCTTACGTAAGTTTCATAAAAAAAATTGCATAGAAGCGAATTATATTATTAATTGTATTATAAAATCTATAATACAAAAATATAATATGCGAATATTTATTTCCTAAAAAAACAAATAAGAATTAAAATTTCTAGTATTTGTAACAACGTTTTTTAACATTGTAAACAATAAAAGAACAAAAATTACAATAAAAATTTTTTTTCTGCAATAAATTGTTGTGTTAACACAATTTTTGTGTTAAATCTTACGTAAGTTTCCTAAAAATAATAGCATAGAAATGAATTATATTATTAATTGTATTATAAAAATTATAAAATCTATAATACAAAAATTTAACGTACGTATATTTATTTTCCAAAAAAAAAAATAATAAATAAATTTCCAGTATTTGTAACGTTTTTTAACATTGTAAACAAATAAAAGAACAAAAATTACAATAAAACATAAAAAAAATTTTTCTGCTATAAATTGTTGTGTGAACACAGTTTCTATTAAATGTTAAAATGTAACTCTATAATTTCGAACTTTACATAACAATAGCTTTTATTCATATTGTTAAATGCATTTTATGTAAAACATTGCATAGACAGCAACTTAAGAGCGATGCCAGAAAATCGAACTTCAGTTGCCTGGATACAGGAGACGGTATTCCCAATCCTCATTCTGGATTGCATGCTCGCTGGTGAAGTCACTTTTAGGCGACATAGGGGGATCGATACGAGAGTTACGGTGGTTACGCACACTCTGAAAATCGTTACAATGTCAACGTTCCATGACATTTAATAAAAGAAAATGTTGCTCGTTAAGTAATGCTCGTTTAAAGGAAAAGCGTGCATAAGGAGAAACATGTTTATGTATTTTTAAAAAAAATAACTTTTAAATAGATATGTTTTTATTAAAATAAATTTAAAAAAAAACTTAAATTTTATCAATTATTTCATAAATTATTTAAAACTAAAGAGATTCAGAAAAATTAAAAATTTAGAATTAAGTTTGAGAAGGCTCATAAAGTTCCATGACTTTTAACAAAATTAAATGTTGCTCGTTAAGTTACATTTGTTTAAAGGAAAAGCTTGCATAAGGAGAAAATATGTTTATGTATTTTTTAAATAGGCACGTTTTTAGCAAAAAAATATAAAAAAATTTCTTATTAACTTTTCCTTAGTAGTTTCTTAAATTATTTAATTTCTTATCTCATTATCAAACTTAAAGATTAAAATTGATTAAGTTTGAAAGTGGGCAAAAAGTTCAATAACTTTTAATAAAATTAAATGTTGCTCGTTAACTTAAGGCTGCTCGAAATAAAAAAGGAGAAAATAAGATTTTTTTTCAGAAATTTTTTTTTTTTTTAGATAGAAATTTTTTATTAGATTAAGCAAAATAATTAATCCGAAATTATTATTTACTGTTTTCTTGACTACCTCATAAGTAATTTTAAAATATTATAGAAATTAAAAAAAAACTAAAAGATTAGAATTTATTAAAATAGAGAATCGACATATTCAAAGTTCCATGACTTTTAATAAAATCAATTGTTGTTCAATAAGTTACTCTCGTTTGAAAGAAAAATATGCAAAAAGGATGAAATATTCTTTTGTATTTTTTAACAAAATATTTTTTGATTCTTTTTTTTTATTAAATGAAGTAAGAATACTTAATTAGGAATTATTAACTTTTCCTTAAATACTTCATCAGTCATTCGTAAATATTATAGAAATTCAGGAAAATTAAAAGAATGGAATTAATCAAGATTAAAAAATCGATTAGAGTGGACATAATATTCTTCGACATTTAATAAAAATATAAGTTCCTCTCTAAATTATGCTCGTTTAAAATAAAAAATTCGCTGTAAGTGAAAATATGATTAATATTTTTTTTAGAAATGCCTAATACATTTATTACATAATTCTGTATCAAAGTAAATAAAAAATAATTATTCACAAATTCAAAACTAATTAAC